ATCATAGATGCAAAGATAATTCTCCTACACTCAATTAAACTGGTTATAGTTATTGGTACGACCTAATAACATATCCTTCCTTACTTGTTTGATAATCAGGATACAATCTCTAACTATTATACCAATCAACAGACAGTTCTAAATACGATCATAGGATTTAATCTATCAACTGCATTAAAACTAGAAGGATCACAAATTCTAGCCAACAAACACACATGTATGATCATTTCGACTAGATCATATATTTCCCTAAACATAAAATCAAAAACCCTTAGTAATCAACTATATTCTTTGCCACCAATATTAGAACAATCAAACAATTATAGATTTAATGTCCTTAATGGCAATATGCTATTCCTATAATTGAACAAAGAGCTCTTTTTTGCATCAATCAACCAAAATAACAATTGTTAATACACACAAGAGATATACTAATAAAAAAGAATAGGAAATTGAAAACTCATTTAGATCTCACAAATCATGTAGAACCAAATCATGAATAATCCTTTGGTTAGAAAAATAATTTAGTTATCCATAAACATGGTAGTCTTCTCCATAATATTCATCTAAAAATAAGTAGAAATAAAATAAACTGCAGGAGTCTTCTGTCCGTGCGTTTGTGCGTTCAAATCAGATCGGCGATGACAGATTACAGATAAAAAATAAATAAATGCGTCGTACTGAATAGAAGAGAAAGGGAGAAAGAGGAGAGAGAAAAATAATACCTAGCGGTCTGATTTAATTATCAGTCTAATTCTAGTCCTATAAGAAATACGTAGAAAATAATCTTCTCTCTCCAAAAATATCCTAATAAATTGAAATAGTCTCTAAATAAATAAAAACTCCATATATTCTATTGTTTCTCTTTCCAACTCAAGGCTCCTTCATTATTCCAACTCTTATAGAAAATTAGCGTGCCCACGCTTAGCTTAAATTCGTCTCTTTTGCCCTCCAATCATCATAAAATTCTCAATTCTGAGATATCCTACATAAATTATAAAATTCAATTAAAATAAATAAATAAGCTCAAATAAAAACCGAAAAAGTATGAAAAACATGACAATTAATATGCCAAGAATACGACTTATCAAATCACCCCACACTTTAACGATGATTGTCCTCAAGCATTACGTCAAGTTCATCATCCCTTCTCATAATCCTCTCAATCATTCGTTACCAACCCAGAACTATTTTGCACATATCAGAAACATAGCTCAAGAAAGAATCCTCATTAACCAACATCAATGAATAATCACCTCAACAATCAAATAACTTAAAACACATGAGATTCGACAACTTCTCACTGGATGCACTCAACGCTCGAATGTTTTTGTGTACAAATTGTTATATTTTACCGAGTATCGAATCAATGATTCGTTTCCCGGGTCGATCTCTCGAGGAAGGCGGTTCGAAATCTAGCTTTGGTGTCGATTACACACGAAAAGAAAATTAATCCTACACACTCTAATCAGATAAAGGGATTGAATAATTATTAACTAAAAAATAATAAAAAGCAATAATCTACCTAAAAATGTGAACGGAACAAAGATGGAGAAGCTAGAGAATCGGGGATAATTAATTCAAGTTCTAGCAAAACCGGGCAATCAATCGTTCGGTTCGAGATTGACACTCTCGCTTAAACATCTAGCGGTTCGCTCCCAATAACTCTTCGTAACAAGGGATTGAACATAGACGAACAAGCTCGAGCATACAATACAGGTCAATTATCCAATCCCAATAACCTTTCGTAACAAGGGACGGGTCATTGACAAGCACGTATTTCAATCCAAACCTATAGACTATTCAATTACGAAATTATCTACCTCATGTGAGCCTAGGTCTACGATTTCTCCCCTTTCGGTTCTAAAAGCCGCTAATTCAATTAGAATGTGTTTAATCAACTAATTATCGAGAATCAACAAAACCAAACTCGACAACTCAATATCCAATTGTTACCAATTGCAAGATCGAAGTGTCACCCTTAGATTACATCAAGCTATCAAGCATAATTTCATCAATTCCTAATCAAATTAACTCACAAAGCATGAACAATTCAAGGCCCGAGAAATACACGTTAAACAAGAACAATCATCCCTTATCCCTAGCATTAAGAATTAGCTACGTAAAATAAATTCAACACCAATAATCATCCCTCCCAAATCAATCATTATTCATGAATTAATTCAAAGAGAAAAGAAACATACAATTTATTTTAGTCCAAGTGTTAAATCCCAAAGTACAAAGCTTAATCCTTGATAACTAAGAAGAAGAAGAAGAAAAATGGAAAAGAAAAGTGAAAAGAACGAAGAAAACGGGAAGAAGAAGGAAAGGAAGAAGGAAGGAGTGTTCTGTGGTTTTTCCCGACCCTAGGGTTTTCACCCCAGAAGGGAGAATACTTTCTGTCGTGTCCCGTACGTGTATTTATATGGAGCAGGGTGAAAAGCGTGGAAATTTCATTTCGGCGTGGAAGGGCGTTGTCACCGCGGCGCGGAGCAGCATCACGGGCGCGGCAGGAGTGGGCGTCGCGGCGTGGCACTGTGCAGCGGTGCGGCAGAGCCTGGCTTTGCGGCACGGGGTAGTGTCACGGCGTGATGGCATGCAAGGAGAGTCCTCTGTCCGGGCGTGACGGGTGTAGCGGATGGCGCCGCGGCGCGGAGAGCTGGTACTGCCGCGGCGCGGGCTTCTCCACGGCCTGGTACTGGAAGGAGCTTTTATGAACTCCCGTGATGGGTGTCACGGCGCGGCGAGCTGGCGCGGCGGCCTGGGGCTGGTTGTGCAGCATGCTCGACTTCACGTCTCGGGCCCGTTTGAACTCATCCGACTTCAGAACTGAGTTCTGATTTTTCCTGCTTGTCGCTAACGAAGCCCTCTAATTAATTACGCTTGCACGGTTAATTTTTGACTTGAATTCAGTCCTCCCGATGCTTTAGACCTGCACACCAAAAACGAAAACAAAAACGGAGAAAACCGAAAAAAATACACTAAAAACAAAGATAGCCAAAATAAGGCGAAACACCCAAAAAGCTACAAAACGAACTAAATACCAACGAAAATACTTAAAACGGGGGACAAAGAAAGACAAAACAATGACGAAAAACGCAACAAAAATGGGACAAACAAATGTGTATAGGCTATCTCAAGTCAAGACAATGAAGGATTTTACCATAAGCTTGCAAATATATCACGCTCGTCACCTAAGAATCAATATGAATACATAATATCGAAGGGTTTAAATGGGTTGTAGTGGGGCTTAGGTAAGGTGGAATAAAAGGACATATTAGGCTAAGAGAATCAAAGCAATAATATAAACTCTTCACAAATGGAGCACATCCCAAAAGAAGCCATTTTGTCTGTCTAACTTCACAAAATGTATCTAACATAAGAATGAAATAGCATAGTTCTCTTTATTGTCATTCTCTCCAATTCTTTTTTTTTTTTTTTGCTTTATGAGTTTTTCGATTTTTTTTTTCTTTTTTTATTCATTTATTTTATTTTTCATTTCATTTTTTTTTTGAGAGAAGACAAGAACTAGTACACATTAGATAACTAAGCTTCAAACAAACTACAATCATGTCCATGCACACAAGCTCATCATCAATACAAAGGATTCATATAATTGCTTCAATTCGAGGTTCAAAAGAGGATATGAACAAAAAGGATATCATGGCTTGTAACGTGGTTAATTGAAAGAAAAGGCTAAGGCTCAAACTTGGCTCACTAGGGGTCTATTTGAAGGGTAGGCTTCCAAGAAAAAGGCTAAAAACAAATGGTTAATCCTAATACCCTTAGTAAGATATCATGCATCCAAATTCATCAAAGATAAACAAAGACGTGTATAATAATGCAAGGTCTTGAAAAATTGACTAGTCATAACAACACATAATCAAGGAAACAGAGCATGATATTCAATGTATGCTCATATGCTCAAATCTCACTAAAAACAAGGTAATATGTGTCGAATCACATGCATTCGTCCGTCAATTAATCATCAAGAATAATCAATCACAAGTAGCACCAAGGACTCCAAAATCATTTTCGCATGCAAATAAAATCGATTTTCACAGGTTGGTAATGAATCGAGAATAACCACAAGAGACATAATAAATAAGACTTAATACCTAAGATAATAAATAATCTCGAAACACCATCTCAAAAATTATTCCCAACCAAATATATAAATATAAGGATACGCAGACCAAATCATCGCAAAGGATACCCCACCCCACACTTAAAAATTGACATTGTCCTCAATGGCACCAACTCAATGCTCAAGCAAAATATAAAAAAGAAACGCAAGAGAAGTAGAAAACTCCCCTGATTGCCGGTCGGCATTGTCTGTAGCCGTAGGATAACATCTCTTATTTGGTGTGGAACTCGGATGAGTGACTGGTTGAAGTCGTTTTCTTTATACCCTCGATACGTCTGGCTCGGAAGTCTGGGCACATAGATGAACAACAAGCCTCAGAAGTTCAGACTCTCGGCCGATAAATAGTAGCGGGAACCAGACATAAAATGGTGTTTCGGGGTTTCAGCCACCAAACTGATCGTGGTGGGCGGCGATGGCTCGAAAATAGCGTGAAGATGTGGAGAACAAGATTCGCCAGTGGAATTCAGAGGGTGGTGGGGCTGGTCAACAAGGTTCGCCGAGGTATGACTTCGGAAACGGATGTAGTGGTCGGCAGCAGCTCGCCGGGAGAGTTCAAAGAAACATAGTCGTATCGGTGAAAAGTATCAGACAAAAGTGTATGGGTCAACCGGTGGTGGACGAATAATTTTGGTAGTGGACTTGATACCATGTAATGGGTCACACTTAGATAATAAAATATAAAATAGAAAATATAATTTAAAATAATATTAAAATATAAATTATGTATTACATGCACTTTACTAGAAAACTAAAAGAGAAGTACTAACGTTGAAATGTGGTTGAAGAGAAGAAGTACTCATGTTGAAATGTTGGTTGAAGGAAAATGGACACTAGCACACTAAAAAAGAAATACAATGTTGAAATGTTGGTTGAAGGAAAATGAACATGCTGACGCAGCATAGCTTTCTCTCTTTCCAACCTAAGTTGACTAATCTGTCTGACCTCTCTGCACAAAAGCACGTTATTAATGGTCCCTTTTTGACCACTCACTTTGCGTATTCTCAATCGTCTTCCTCGAAGGAAAAACAAAAAAAAAGAAAAAAAATAAATTGTTTTCCTCCACCCTCCCCAAGCTAACCGTTGACTAAGCACCACACTTGATTATCCTTTCTCTCTCCGCTCATGGCGGTTTGGTCTCCGGGGAATTGCTAACCAGGTTCATTGAATCTGGGCGTGTAGCCCTAGAACCTGAAAATCAAGGGTTTTTGGCCGGACTAAGGTTAGGGAAAAGCTTCAACTGGTCGAATCGACCTTTTTTATTTCTACTGTTTTCCCTTGGTGATGGTATTTGAAAAGATTCGACCGCATCTCTAGCTGATTACCTTAATTTAATGGGTATCGATTGAGATTTTGTCTGATCTGTAGATTTATATGTATATCTAGAGCATAGATGAGGTTTTCGAGTATTTGGGGGGACTGACTATTGTTGTGGCTGTTTGATTTTGCGTTTGGAAATCATGAAGAGACTGAGGTCGAGCGACGATCTCCACTCTTACGGGGAGAAGAAAGATGGTGTTAAAGATTGGGGAAAAAAGGAGGACTCTGGATTGCAGCGTTCGTCTTCGTCTCTGCACAGGAGCTCCTCCTATTACAGATCCTCGGACATGGGCAGGAAGGTTCTATCTTCATCATCATCGAGGTTGGATCGGCCTGAAGATGATAGGGAGAGCTCGAAACTGGTCAGGAAGCGGACGGAATACGATTCAGAGAATTATGATCACAGGAAGACTTATGATCGTTATAGAGACGGAAAAGACAGACCTACGTATGTTATGGACCAGATGTATAGGTCGGAAAGCTTTTCTGGACAAAGGAGAGACTTCCCAAAGGGGTTTAGGTCTGAGAGGGACAGGCCTAACAGGGACAATATCGCCACATCGTGGAGGAGATTCGGAAGTGGTATAGATAGTGATGATGGGTCGAGGAGTGGGACTGAGACGAGCAGAGGGAGTAGAATGGAGTCTAAGGAAGTTGGAAAGTCAAGGTCTAAGGATTCTGGAAGTGAGCGCTCGAAGAGTGTCGAGGGAAGGAAGTGTGATGATATGCCGGTGGAGAGTGAACGGGAGGAAGGTGAGCTGGAACCTGATCCTCAGCCGCAAGTGCCATTGGCTGAGGATGATAAAGCTGCTGTTGGAAGGAGCTCGCCCCAAAAGGAGGCGAATGGTGGATCTCATTTTGAGGATAATAGTGCTTTGCGAGAAAGGGAGAGCTTCTTGCCTGTTGATATTGGGGATGCAAGTAAAGGGAGTAGCTGGGAGGAACAAGCAGAGTGTGAAGTATCTAAGGATGTTGAGGATGGTGTGGGAAAAAATAATGACTTGGCAGGTTTTCAGGATGCGTCGTTCAAAAAGGGAGGTGGAAGTGGAGATGAGAACGATATAAATGATGAAAATGGGGGTGAAAACAATGTTGTTGTGGATACAGTTGGAGGCTCTTTGGAGGAGGATGCAGACAGTACATGTGGTGGCAAGTTATCCATACAAGAGCAAGAGGAAGAAAGAGGTGTTGATATCAAAATGAAAGTGAATGAAATCATGGAGGCTGGAAATGGGGAAATAACATCTGGAAGCGGGCTTCCATTTGCGGAGAAAACGACCCTGAGTTTGAAGGATAAGGGCAAAGGTGTTGCTTTATTGCCTTTCGGCGGTGTTCCCTTCACAGAATTTACTTTGGATGCCGAAAATAAAGCATTGGATCATCGAACAACTGCCAACGTGGAAAGTGAAGGGCCGAGTGCCAGGGGATTTCAATTTTTCTCTGCAGATCCAGTTAAGAAGGCAGAGGAAGTGGAGCAAGCAACATGTAACAAGCAAAAAGATGATAAGTTAGCGCTTGAACTTTCACTTAGCTTGCCAAATGTCTTATTGCCTATCGGCGCTCAGAATAGAGGACCGGCTCCTGGTTCTCCAAGCCATGGGAGAAGTATTCACTCATTTGCCAGCTCGTTTCGGACAAATTCTGATGGGTTTACTGCTTCAATGTCGTTTTCTGGTTCCCAGCATTTCAGTCACAATCCCAGCTGTTCTCTGACTCATGATGCACTTGATTTTGAACAATCTGTCAAAAGTAAACCATTGTTTCAAGGGGTGGATTGGAAAGCTTTGGCGGAAGAGAATAAGAGTAAAGAGGCTTCAGCTCATCAGGGAATGCCATCACGAGAAAACGGCTTCATTCAGCAGTCTAAATCGTCTCAAGGCAAGTCCAGTGGACAAGCTCCAGTGCAGAATGCAAGAGGTACAGGAAGCAGCTCCAAATTACCAATTGTGCTGGAAAGGCAATTAAGTTTGAATACACATTTATTGGGAACACGGAATTTTGGCTCCTACGAAAATGTACTCGAGCATTGTGCAGAGAGGAGACAATTGGTGCCTGAGAAAGATTCTGGTAGTTTACACCGGCTCAATGGCCCAGATGAGAAAGAACTTTCTCAGTCAATGGTGATTGGATCCGACTTTGCCGAATCAATAGTTACTATGATAGTTTCCGAACCTCTACATGTATTGGCTAAGAGGTTTAGTGATATGACTGGGAAACAAAAGGCAAGTGTCAAAGAATTTGTCCTCGACATGATTTCGAACCCCACGAAGCAATGGCAGCTGAGTGCTCTTCAGAAGGCTTTGCAGAAGAGGCCGGATGTGACCTTGGATATGCTACTGAATGCACATAGCACTCAACTGGAGATCTTGGTGGCACTGAAAACGGGTCTTCGGGAATTTCTTTTACAGACATATGACATCCCGACTTCTGATCTGGCTGAAATATTTCTGAACATGAGATGCAGAAACCTCAACTGCAAGAGTGTCCTGCCTGTAGATGAATGTGACTGCAAGATTTGCTCTCGGAGGAGTGATTTTTGCCGGGAATGCATGTGTCTTGTGTGTTCAAAGTTCGACATGGCTTCGAACACATGTAGTTGGGTCGGGTGTGATGTTTGCTTGCATTGGTGCCATGCGGATTGTGGGTTGCGAGAATCTCATATTAGAAATGGTAAAAGTGCAGCGGGTCCCCATGGCACAATGGAAATGCAGTTCTATTGTGTTGCCTGCGGTCATCCATCTGAGATGTTTGGTTTCGTGAAGGAAGTTTTCCAGAACTTTGTGAAGGATTGGACTGCCGAAAACCTTGCTAGGGAACTTGAATATGTGAGAAGGATATTTTTTGCGAGTGAGGACGTGAGAGGAAAACAGCTGCATGATACTGCAGTGAGCATGCTGTCCAAATTGGCTAATAGATCAGATCTTCTGGACGTGCAGAATCGTATCGTGAATTTTTTCAATGGTGAGATTGGTCCCCGTTTTTATTTTGTTCTATGGCATTTTCATAATACATGTGCATTGGCTGCATTTTCTATATTCACCATCATTATTGTAACTCGAAATACTGGTAATAAGCGGTTCAAGAATGTTACGTACAACTATTCCCATGTCTTTTTTGGTTGGACCAGCCAAACCCTCCATTTACGTTTCTTCTGAGAAATTACTGCCAAAAGTAAGTAATGCTTTCCTGGGCTTGTCTGACCTTGTTAGGATTCTGTTATATAAATTATTGTTCTTTCTTAAGCTTAATCTTTGATTATGCGGCTGTAGAATATTAATTATTTCTCTTGGTTTTCCTCCAATATTTTGGTTTATTACTGTTATCCATGAAAATCCACTATATGCTAATACAATAATGTTTTCAGCTTGACTAATGGCAGCTGTGAAAAAATATGGTCAAGAGAAGCATTTCACCATTTGGATTTTTATGTTCAGCTGATCAATGAAAATAACAAAAATATGCTAAATAATATGCAATGAGCTGCTTAATGAATTCATGTTGGCAGTATCTGTTCTCTTGTATCCATATGAATGATTGGAAAGAATTTGCATCTGCTGAGTTAGTTCACTCTACACTTGTGTCTTTTGTTATTAGGTACACTGATGTATTCTACTTGCATGACATGAAAACATATGCTCAATATATTAAAACTAGAAGTCATATTTTTTCTTGATTAAAAACCTAAAATTCTGATAATCAGGAATGAGTCATTGAATCTGATTTTGACAGAACTTTTATGTAGTTGGAACATTATATTTGCCTGAAAAATATCTGATGATGTTTTGCTTGTGATGTTAATCTTTGTCGATATCATTATTTTTGGTTGGACTTCAAAATTAAAACAACACTTAAACATATAGCAAGAAGATATTTCTTTGTATATTTAAATACATGAAATTCAAGTGACTAAAAGTTTTCATAGGATTCGAGTTACTGGTAAGATGATGATGATGATAAATGGAAACTTTTCTTCTCATCACGTTTTCTGATCTCGAACTACATGTGTAGGCCGGACGGCACATTAAAATTGACCCACTCTTGTAATCTGACTTGCTCACGTTCTGTCTCTTTCTTGTTTTATTTAATTTTTTTTCTCAATTCATTTCAATTCATGTATTCCATCTCTTAATAATTTTGCTCACATTACCCCCTTCAATTACAGAAACCAAATTCGACAGGCCTGCCAACATCACATCAATCGAATCCCACAAGGAGCTATCTACTAGAAACCAAGAAGCCATCAACGGCATTACCAGGCCTGACCTAGGGGCTTCTGGATGGTTGAAGCCCGTCTATCCAGATAAGCCTCCACATTTCGAAAGCTCCTTCAAATTAGTCCCTGAACTCGATATAAGCAGGAACGATAAATATGCTACGAACTTGGATCTTTCAAGAACTTCTCAAAAAGAACCCATATTTGACGAACTAGAAAGCATCGTGAGAATCAAACATGCAGAGGCCAAGATGTTCAGAACGCGTGCAGAGGACGCAAGAAAAGAGTCCGAGGCCCTTAAGCGCATTGTGGTTACTAAAAGTGAAAGAATCGAGGAGGAGTACACAAGCCGGATCACTAAGTTGCGTTTGGCAGAGGCTGAGGAAATGCAAAAACAGAAATTAGAGGAGCTTCAGGCTCATGAACAGGCGTATCAAGAGTATGTCAATATGAAGATGAGGATGGAGACGGATATTAAGGATCTTCTGTTGAAAATGGAAGCAACAAGGAGCAACTTCTCTGCATGATTGGCCAGGGTTGTTTTTAGGTATGGGCTCTCATGCGGCGGGGATGG